ACCCCTACCCCCACCCCCATCCATTAATTCTAAACTCTTATTCATCCGTCAAAACCCAGCTCAAAAGCCACTTCCTTAGAAAAGTCATCCCTGAATTCCTTCTCCACGCAGCAGTAGCCTCGCCTCCTCTGGACTCCCTCTGTCCTGGGCTCCCTGGAGGTAAAGCTCATGGAATCTGTCCTCCCACAGTCTCCTGTATGGCCCCATTGTAACAAGTTTTTTTACACTGAGTTGTAGTAACCTGTTGAGTTTTCTCCTCCTCTAGAATATAGACTTTTTGAGAGCAGAGAACTTCAGACTTGCTCCCTGCTGGATCCTCAGTGCTAAGCTCAGGGCCTGACACACAGCAGATGTTCAGCAAATACTAATTGCAAAGGTGAATAAATATTAAACAGAAATGATAATGCCCTCTGTGCTGGATGCTGTTAACGCGCCACCCAGACCCCCTCATCAAGTCAGGGCACTCATCTTCCCACGGCCATGGCCATACGTATCGGCTGTAAATGGCTCACAGATGCCCTCTTCTCTGAAGACGTGCCCTCAGCTGAACTGGAGCCTGAGCTCATCCTGCCTCCCATCCCAGGATCAGCCCGGGTTGATGACCAACAGATGCCCGCACAAATGGCCAGTTGCCTGCACCTTAAGATGGAACCAGCTCTGTGGGATCAGGCCACATCCTTGCTTAGCTCCTCCCCCACCCTGACCTGCTTCCCTCACTCCCCTTCTGAGAGTAACCTTCAATAGGATCGCTGTCTCTGGCTCAGTTTCTAGGGAATCTGACCTAAGACAAACACCTTCCCTGCCTTATTGAAAGTAGAATGTATGTACATGAGTAGGTGAATGGGTGGATGGAAGGATGGATGGATGGATGGATGGATGGATGGATGGATGGATGGATAGATAGATGGGTGAGTGGGTGGTTAGGTGGATGGATGGATGAATATTTGGATGGGTACCTAGAAATTGCTTTTATGCAGGGTGGGGCAAAGGTAGGTTTACAGTTGTGAGTACATGAGACACAGATTTTATTTTTGT